AACTCCCACTTGATTAAAACCACCTCGTAATGAAGCAACAACAAAGCGGAAGGGACTTGGAAAAGCAAGTTCTTTTTTATTTTCATGGATTAGCGGTTTTGAACGACGTGGTGGACCAAAACCAGAAAGGGCTGTGAAAATAAAAAATAATGTTTTTTTTTGTAAGCCGCTAGGACCATGTTCGCTGCGCAGACAAAAACCAGAAAGTACGCTGGAAAAATACCCTTTACTTGTTGCGATAGCCTAAATAGCAAAAGGGCCCGAACCAGACAAAAATTCCTGAGAAAATAAGATAAAAATTCGAAAAGTTTTTTTTCTTGTTTTGGCAGGATGGTTGCCCTTGGACAAGGCCACGCCAAAGCGCCAGAGCGAGCACGGCGTGGCCTGGCGTGGCCTAGACCATGGCGGCGTGGACCTCGTGCTTCGCCACGCGCCGCGGAGGCCATGGAGGCCACGCGGTCCCTGTCCCCTCTACTCCCTTGCTGCGCCTAGCGCCGCCTTGCGCAGACTACTACACTGCACGCCACGGCGCCCCGGCCATTGAACGCCAGTGACCCCGGAAGCAGTGGGACATAGTTCGAGCATACGGCACCAGGGCCACGGCGGCCACGGCAGCCACGCTGGGCCGCTGGGCTCGACGCATCCGCGAGTCCTTCCCTGCAGACCGATTCCGAGAGTCGTTTTCGTCGCTCTGCCTCTCTTGCACCTCTAGGCGACCCCCGATGAGCGCGAGAGAGACAGCGATGAAAACGACTCTCGGGACCAGTTTGCCAGTACAAAGCACTCGATGCTTCTGTTTCCATGGCCAGCACCACTAGGAAACGAAACGAACGAAAGAGAAAACCAAACCGGGGAGTTCCCACCTTTGCGCCCGGGCCGGGCCGGGCCTTGGACGCACGCAGTAACAAGGGCGACGTGTGAAAAATATTAACATATTATCTCCTCACCCCTTTTCTTTGTCGAAAGCAGTGAGAACGAATGAGAAAGAAACGGGCTGTGGAAGAAACGCGTTATATTTTTTTTCCTTTCATGCTTTTTATTCCCCCTCTCCTCTCGCCGAGCGGTAGAAATCGTTCCGTCGAGTGTAACAAACACTGTCGAAAGAAACGGCCGCGAGCAAGTCCAAATTAACGACGGCGAAGACGGATTCCCGGAAGTTGGCGTTCTCAGAGACGGGCATGCGAGTGGCAGTGCACCGGCAGAGCACTGGCAGCCATATTCATGACGAGCCATTCGTACTCCGTACAGTACCGCGAACTGCCCACTCCGCTCCACTGCTTGTGATGGGCCGAATTTAAAGCCGTGACTGGAGCCTCGAGTCGAGTGAGGCTGCAATAGGAGACCGGACCGGAACTCGGCCGGAATTCGGTCGGAAAGTCGGGACAAAATCCAGAATCGCAAAGTGCGCGTCACGGTCAGGGTGTCAAAGTGTGCGCGGGTCAGGTGAGGCCCGTCACTTGCGTTCCTGCGTCTCTGCGGCGTTGCCGGACTGACTGTTCCCAGGTCATAAATTCGTCCCCCTTCACCATAAAACATAGGGCGTATACGGCGAACAAAAAAATAAAGACAGTTGGAAAGGGGGGGGGAAGGTATGATAAGGAATAAAAAGAGGAGTTACGGCGACGCATTAAAAAGTACAACCACACTTGCGGCTCTCCACTCTCCGCTTCCCGGTTTGCTTCGTTTATGACCAATTTATCTGCACTGCTGCCTCCCACGCATCAGCAAATTGTCATATTGTCACTGGAGCACCGATTCCTTTTCGCAAGGCTCCTTTGGAACGCCTTGGAGAAGCAGAGCGAAAATATGCCAACTCAGAGAGAGAGAGAGAGAGAGAGAGAGAGAGAGAGAGAGAGAGAGAGAGAGAGAGAGAGAGAGAGAGAGAGAGAGAGAGAGAGAGGAAGGGAGGCGCTGCTCGACACGGCGAGGCTTTGCGCGGGAATTTAACGAAGGGCTCAACTCGGCGACATAATTGAGTGGGCCAGCCAGCAGAGCGATTCCGAATAGCAGTGCTTCTCTGTCGCACTCGCGGGGCGTCCCGGGGCGTCCCGTGGGGCCGCGAGGGAGACAGAGTTCGGAGTGAGCCAGTGCAGCAGAGCGTTTTCCGCGCCGATACGCCTGTTTCTGTTTCCGGGCGGCGCCAGGGCCGAGGCGCCAGCGTTTTGAAACGACTTGCGCAACAGATTGGGCCTCAAAGAGTCGCTGGGCAAGCCTCTGAGCAAGCCTTAGCCTTCCTGTGGCCGTGCGAAAAAAACAAACAAAGCTTCTAAAATAGGAAAGACCCGTTAGATAACAAGGACGGTTGGACGACCGTTGCCGTGATGAAATCCGAGACGCATTAACATGAGTACTTGAAGCCGCGCCCGAAGCCCGGCAGGGCGGGCAGGGCAAGGAAAAAACAGGTGCAGGTAAAGTTTGAACGACACAGCCAGGCAGGACAGAGAACAGGCCGTGCGATCCAATTTGTAAGTCAGATGACTGTTATACAAGCAAGGCGGCGAAGAAAGGATTGGACGGGGGTGGAGACAAGAGAGGGACAGAGACAGAGGGAAAGAAAGAGAGGGAAAAAAGGAGAAGCGTGGAGAGGATCCGAAGAGAAGGCACAAAACAACGCGAGCCAAGCCGCTGTGTCCGCGGATTCGAACAACTTCGATACGAGAAAGAGATACTTGAAATTAACGACAGGGGGGCGGGGCGGCAGGGGACCGCGGGGGAGAGGGGAGGGGGCGGTGCCGCGGCTTCTAGTGTTTCCCAACCTTGGACGCCCCCCCCCCCCGGTCCTTGCGGGGTGAGTGACCTCCCAGCCAGATATTGACACCAGTTTACAACGGCGAGGCGACATCGTAGGCAACATCGCAGGCAACATCGTAAGCAACATCGCAGGCAACATCGTAAGCAACATCGCAGGCAACACTTCCCTTCCTCACTTTTACATTAGTGAATTATTTATAGAGGCGTTTTGTGTTATTGTTCTTGTTATTTTCCTCTTCCCCGTATTCTCCGTTCCACGCCGAGAAGGGGAAGTGTTGCGCCCTTTTTGTGCCACTTCTTTCGGCCCTTCCTTCCACACGTTTTTTTATCTCCCCCTCTTTCTCGCTCTTCTCCTCAATTTTCGTTGCCGCCTTATCGCCGTCTGCCTCTGCCCCGCGTTCTCGTCTTTCGAGGTAGTTGGTCAAAGCCAGTGAGGCAGAAAGGCGGACGGAGCGAGAAAGAAACAGAAAGAACAGAGAGGAGGAAGTATGGCTCAAAGACGGACGGGCGGACGGACGGACAGAGTATGGAGGCGGACGGGCAGCACACTTATAACTCCTGTCTCACTCCCACACCCCTCACACGCACGCAATCACACACAGACACACAGGGGCACGCAAGCGCGCGCGCGCGCACACACACACACACACATGCACACGCAGTGTGTCCGCATTCCCCAACTCAATCTCTCTGCCCCCATCTTATTATTATTACTATCATCATCAAACACAAAACTCCCTTGCCCCTGCCCGTTCGGCCTCCCTCCCCCTTTTCGGCAGTTTTTCCCTTTCGCCCTTCTGGTGTGGTGGAGCCACCCTCCTCGGCGCCCACCTGACACACGCAGAGCCACGTGGTTTGTACAGTGTGCCGGACCCAGGAGGGCTTCAGATTCTTATTCCGAAATGGCAAAACTGCGTTGGCGTCGAGTGTGGGCAGCATGCGAGGGAGTGAGAGAGGGGGGGGGAGAGGGAGAGAGAGAGAGGCACTTACCCGAGGGGGGCAGGCGTAAGCGCGCTGCATCTCCAAGCCCCAAAGTGCCCATTCAGCACTGCTGCCAACTTTCTCCCGACGTCATCGCATCGCTTTGCTTCGCTTTGCTTTCATTAGAGAGCCTCACGGAGAGGAGCAGGGCTGCCAACCACTGCCCGTGATTCGAGTTTCTGACTGAAAAAGCGCCAGCAAACCTTGCCAATCGCTCCGCCGCCAAGTCACCACTCGGTGCCATCCCAGGCGCGTCGCGGAGACAATGCCCTGCAAATTTATGTCCAGGAGGCTGGATTTTTAATTCGGACGCCACAAAAGACTGGGGAGATGCGCACGTACGACGTACATATAGTGCGAGGCCAGAAAGAGAAAGGAGAGCGGGGAGGGAGGCGGAGGGAGAGGGACAGAGACAGCTCCAAGGTCGTAAATTCAACTTGATGGCGCGCTGTAAACTTTCCGTGGCACGTCCTCCATGATTTGGAGAGCTGTCTCTCTCTCTGACTCTCTACAGGAAAGAGGGCCACGGAACGGACGGGGCGCTCGGAGCTGTCAGGAAAGAGGCCAGTGGAGAGGACAAGAGAGAGGACACTAGATAACATCGTGGTTCATCTTGTGAGATAAGCGCCCCTCACACACACGAACACACACACACGAACACACACACACACACACACACGCACAGCAAGTATCGTTTGCCCGGCTGGCCCCGCCCACCTGTCGTCGGGACGGCCTTGCCAGCAGCCTTGCCAACCGGAGCCGCCCCGAGCCCCCGGATCCCACGTCGCCCGGAGCGGCCACCCAGCCGTCGCCCGGAGACGAGGCGGGCTGCACTGCGGGCCAGTCTCATTAGGACCCCGGGCACCTTAGGGCCACTGGCCAGTGTACCACCGCACCGGCTGCCTCGTTCGTACAGTGTACATACTGCACGCGCGGCCCGCCGTGCCCACACAGGCAGTGTCTAGGAGTCCCGTAAGACATTCCTCAAAGTGCGCTAATTCCGGCCGGGCCAAGTCTCGCGTGGAGTTTCACTCCGGCGCGCATTTAGGCCTCACGCTGGCAGGGGCGGATCCAGAGACGGTTCGGAGGGGGTGGGGAAATGTCGCAAAAGCTTCCAACCGGGCAAAGCACGACTTGTTGCCTACCTTTCAGGCCGCGCCTGCTCCCTGGCGATCCCCAGCATCAGCACGCCACACGTACAAACACACAGACACACAAACACACACAGGGGTGGGCAAACCAGTCGCCTCACCGGCACGCTTACTTACAGTGCTTTCGTACCCCTGCTGCATCTTTAGCTCTAGGCGCGCGCGTCTCTACGGCGAGGTAGTGAAGTAGTGACTCGAAGGACTAGCAAGTGTGCGACTAGTATTCGGGGCGAGCGGGGCGGGGCTCAAGTCTAAGGCGCCTGCAACGAAAACAAGAGCATGAGCACGGCAGAGCCAGGCAGAGCCAGGCAGAGCGCCCCCTGGCCGGGAGACGTCGTGACGCCGTGGGGAGGGGGAGGGGGTGGCGCGTGGTGGAAACGGGGACAGCAACTCGCATGGCGTGGCGTACCGCACGCGTACTACTCCGCACGCCGCGCGCCGACAGGCGTTTCGTTTCGTTTCGTCTCCATGGCGCCAGAGTAGTCAAGCAGTCATGCTGCGCCAGCAGGTTGGCGCTGCCCCGCGCCGCCCCGCGCCGCCCCGCGCCGCCCGCCCGGTGCGTCGACGCGACCAAAGTCCGCGGGCAGAGGCGGGAGGTGGGCTGCCCTGAGTCAATAGCCAGTTTGTCAAAACAGGGCGACGAGGCCCACGGGCCCGCTGCAACTGACACGGCACTTAGAGGGGGAGAGAGAGAGAGAGAGAGAGAGAGAGAGAGAGAGAGAGAGAGAGAGAGGGAGAGGGGGAGAGAGGGAGAGAGGGAGAGAGAAGGGGGAAGCGGCTGCATCACCGTCAAGCAATGTCAGGCACTGCCAGGCAATGCGAGAGGCCCTTTCAAGCAAAGCCTCACCTTCTCTTCTCCTTCCTGCGTGGCCTGCCCGGCCCTGCCTGGCACTGCCTGGCACTGCCTCCTGAAGTGCTCGAACCACAAACAGGACGCCACGCGGGCAACTCTATTTTCAGGGGAATTCAACAACACTTCCCCCTTCCTTCCTGCTGCCACTTCCCTATTTTTCCCTCTCATTCCGGCACTCACTCCAACATCAACACACGCGCGCGCGCGCATACACACACAAACACACACACACACACACACACACACACCACACACACGCAGTACAGTCATTCACACGATCAATAGCCTCGTCCCCAATCTCCCCCGACACCGCTAACGCACCGCTAACGCAACGCACAGCTTTCTCTGCGAGAGACTGTGAGAGACTCGAGACTCGTGTTCGCCCCGACACCACCACACTCTTCGTGTGCCTCTTGGACTGCTTTTGCACTGCTGGTTCGCACCCCGCGAACTGAGTGGCAGCAAGTTGGTTCCGCGCGGCGCTTCATCGCTCTGGACCTCTCGCAGCTCAAGCAGCCGAAGCCGCCTGAAAGGTGGGCCACTTTCGCGACTTGGCACCCCCCTGAACCCATCTCTGGATCCGCTCCTGGGTGCCACCGCAGTCAGAACACACTGGGTGCAGTGGGCGACCGCGAGTGCTACTGTACGCACCACTAGTTGCAGTGGCGTGGCTGCGGTGGCTGCGGGGGCTGCGGGGGCTGCGGGGGCGCCCCCTGCCGGACCATTCGCCGCATTGGCCGCCACGCCGTGCCGTTTAGTGGGCGCGGTATCGCGAGTCCGCGGAGTGCCGCCCCCGCGCCTCGCCGGCCGAGGGCCCCGACGACGGCCTCGAAGTGCACCTCGCCGTCGTCCATGGCTTGGTGGTGCTTCCTAGCGCACAGCCCAGACACACCGGAAAGCGATGAACCCAATCACTTCCCGTGGCGGTCAGCCAGCCAGCCAGCCAGCCAGCTAGCCAGCAAGCCGACACAGTGGCGAGAGGGAGGGCCCTCCCTGATTCCGAACAGTGCTGTCGTCGCTCTCTCTCGCACTCATGGAGCGGGCCGTAGGGGAGCAAGAGAGACTGTTGCCGGGTGCCACTGGGTGTTCCGCGCTCCACCTTCGCTCCTCGCTTCGCGCTTCGCCCCGAAAGGGGTAACGAAGAAAGGAACGCATTAAATAACTTCGCCAGTGGACGGGGAAACACGTTAAAAAATACAAAAAATAAAACGGATAGCGAAACAAAAAGTATAACAACAACAAAAACAGAAACAACAGTAAATGATGAAAAACGCGAGAGAGGAATGTCAGGCCTGCCACTTACTTCTCCTCCTTCTTCTCGGGGAAATAAAAGGAAAAATTAAACAAAAGGAAAGTTGACGCTGTCTCATTTCCAGAGCGAAAATACACGACGCACTGAATCAGTGGATGAGGACGTGGGGAGGGGAAAAGGGGAAAAGGGGGGGGGAATCTCTTGGTTTGCAACAAAGAAGACGGGAAGGAGGGGGAGCTAAGTCGCTCCCGGACGGCCCCGCTATGAGTTTAGCTTTGAGGTAAAGCCCCTGTAAAGGAGCGCAGACCTCCCCCCCCTCTCTCTCCTCTCTCCCTCGGTGCACATGCAGGGCAACGCAGTGATTGGCAGCAGGAAATGTAACGGGTCCGGCCTGCCCCGAAAGCCCTGAGACATTCTCCTCTCTCTCGGGGCATTACATGGTCGGGGCGCAGCGTGCGAGCAGCGTGCCCCACCCACCCACCGGCCGGCTGGCCGTGGCCGCCTCGGTGCCCGCACTGCCCAGCGCAGCCCTCGCCGGACTTGCAGACCCTGCACCTGTCGCATATTAGTGCCCCACCACCCGGGCGAAAGAAGTAGTTGATCCTCCGAGGCTGAAATAATCCCCACACATCTCCCTGGTTCTGCCTGAGCCGATGCCCCCTCTCCCCCCCATAACGGTTTCGCAAACTTGTTCATTATTCTGCACAGAGTTGGGGTGCGTGGCGCGGCGTGGCGTCCGCGGGACTCGTTCGGTATAACGAAGGACGCATGTGCATAAAAGTTGCGCAATATACGCCGCACGCATATACCACAACTCGTGGTGTTTTCAGAGTGTTTTTTTAAAGCTTGTTTTTTTTTGTGCCTTTATGTCGCCTTTGTTGGGATATGCGCATTTATTTGGCACGTTGTTGTCGATTCTGAAGCAAGGTGCCAGGCGGAAGTTTTTCATGGTTCAGCGGAAAAAAACGGGAGGCGAGCAGCGTTGTTAAGACCCGCCAACAGAGAAAAACAAACGCTGGAAAAAGAAACCAAATTTCAGAGTGGCTCTTCTTCCACCACGTTTTGTTTCGCTCCCTTCATGGCCGTTTGCAGAAGTGCTCCCGGCAGGAGAAGAATTGGAATGGAAAAAAATGGGGGGGATATGAAAAGAAAGAGGGAAAGATAACAGCGGCATGCGAAAACCGTCGAGAAAAAGGGAGAGACATAAAGGAAAGGTGGAAGCGGCGAAGGAGAGCTCGGGAGTGCCGTTCGCGATAAAGGAGGTTAGGTCTGTTGAGAAATGGTCACGTCAGCCTTTCGGCGATTGGCAAGGTGGCTCACTGGACAGTCAAGGGTTGGCTGGCCTGGAGTTTGCCTGGATCTGCCTGGAGCACTCACATGCCAATGAAATACACGCGAAGAAGAATTTCTCACGACCCCTTTCAGGCTTTGTTTATCCACCACGCTGCCGATTCACTTCTCCAGGTGAAACTCTCCACTCCCCCTTCCACCTCCCCCGTAGCGCGGACTGAGTCAGCAATATAAATGGGACAAACTTTTAATCGCGATTCAAGGATCAATAAATATGATAATATCCTTAGTTTTCGCATTACTCCGCGCAAGTCGTTTCGTAAAAGTTAATGTTTGGGAGATAGACATCGCAGCGCGCGGCCCACGAATGTCGGGAAGAGGAGAAGGAGAGATAGAAGGAGATAGAGACGAGAAGAGAGAGGGGAGGGAAGGGGGAGAGTAGGACAGCACTGGGGAGAGGTGGAAAGGGGAGGGGGGGGGAGGAGAACAATACGATCCTGGGAAATCACCGGGTACACCATAAAAACGTGGCTATCCCACCACCTAATCGACAATCAAAGGAGTGAGAAATAATCGTAAAAGAAACTTTAATTACACTACAATCGCCGTCCGAAATTCGTTTTCAAAATGACGGAACGAGAAGACTCTCTGTTCGTCAATCAAGGAAAAAAAGTTCCTTTCAAAAAACAAGTTTCGACAGCTAAAAAAAACGAGGCCAGAGAAATCGGCATGTAAGCGCTGGTCATTTATCCTGGCAGGGAATGAGTTTTGTTGTGACTGTCAAAACTAAGTGCCATGTGCGACTCTTGCATAGCAAAGTGTGCGTAAGGGGCGGAAGGGGACCACGGAAAAAGCAGCGACGAAAAAACGCCAACTTTGGCATACCATCCTGGCTTCGAAAAATAAAGGAAAGGGACGTGCGTCCCAGTTCCTCGCAGTGTGCCTGCTGCCTACTCAAGAAAAGCAATCTTCTTTTTGTTGAACTTTTCAATTTATTTTCCAGGACGGGCGTTCGTTGGCAGCCCTGTTTCGTCCGCCGGTTTCGTCCCAGGCTTACTCAACACTAACGCCTGTGTTCTTTTGTCAGACACAAAGGAAATTCTCAAAACTCTCGCCACACACTGAAAAAAATGGTTGGTTAGGCCAACCTGCAAATAGTTGGATAACGGGGTTGAGGTTGGTCCATCCAAGTCGGTTGGTTGGTCGAACCTTCTGCTGGATGGCAAGTCCATCCCCAGTTGGATAGAGTATCCAACTGGGGAGGGTAAGGTAGTTGGCTGCTGCGTCCAACTGGGTGGTTGGTGCAAGTATTCGGGTGGTTGCCACACCGACACCCCCCTCCCCCACGTCATGCCCTGTCCCCACCACACCCACGCGCGCCCGCCCGGCAGCCGCAGCATCTGCTCGTCCGCCGAGCCTCCAGCCGTCGCGTGGCGTGGTGGCCTAGTGGTTAGGCATGTGAGCTCTCACGAGCACGGCCTGGGTTCGAATCCCAGCACAAAAAGCCATTCGCCGCCGTCGAGGAAGGTGGCGAAGTGAGAGGAGCAGAGGAGGAGCATACGAAACGATGCGAAGGGAGGGGGAAGGAAAGCATACAAAGGGAAGATTGAAAAATTCATTTTTGCTATAATTTTTGGCTATGCAGTTGGGCGACGGATCCTCTTTTCGTGTGTCAACGAAGCCATCCGAGTTGATTGTAGCAACCAATGAGTTGGACGTGGCAACCAACTGACCTGGTTGTAGCAACCGACTCACCTCATCCATCTTAGTTGGACACCGCAGCCAACTAGTTGGATGTCCCAAATATAGCCTCCCGAGTTGGTCACCGTGTCCAACTATGAGGTTGACCCATCCAACTGTTTTTTTCAGTGCAGCCACATTGTTTTAACATTTACTTCTCGAGGAAATACTCTGACAAAAAATTTTAATTTTATAAATTTTTTTTGGAAATGGTTATGACATCCCTTGAGCCTGCTGGGTCCACCCAACCCATTACTTTTACGTAAACGGAGTGCGTTCTGGCGAACGTGGCAAGTGCTGCACACTATCGGTCCACAGCTGGGCCGCCCCCCTCCCTCCCGGCTGCCCCACTTTACCTTTATCTGCACATTATTCCGCCATTCCCCCAGTCCCCTTCTCCTTTCGGGCCTTTCGGGCTTCGCGGCAAAGCAATGCCACGGCGAGACGATCGTCCTGCAGAGTCGCGCCCTACAGTATATTCCGTTTTCGATTTACGTTCATCGACATTCATTGTTCCTCCCGAGATTATGAATGCAAATTATTGCGCGATGAGAGAGTGGGTAAGTGAGGGAGGGGGGGCAAAAAAGGGGGGGGGGCGTTCGGGGTCGCTGCTGACCACGAGGGCTTTTGCGACCGCTTGTGACCCCTATTGTGACCACCTGGCGACCGCGTGGCCGCGTGGCGTTCTGCGTCTTGACCCCCCCCCCCCGGCGTCGTTTCCCTGGGCAACCGACTGTCGCAACGACAAGCTCGGCATTGAGACCAGTAAGCTGAAAGGCTGCAAGGCTGAAAGAGGGGGGGGGGGGGGACGCCTCCGCAAGGAACCGCAAGGAACCGCAAAGGTTGCAGCAACAGCAGAGTTCCCTGGCGGGGAAAGAAGGTGCCGGAGAGCGGCTCGGGGTCAGCTCCCCGTTTCCCGGGTGATACCTCGGTGGAAAAGCCAATCCTGAAGCAGGCTGCCGCCCGGACGAGAAATAACGAAAGTAATACCGGTAATAACTTCATAACGTCGCTTGCAATATATCCGGCTGTGCGTTGCCTTGTGCGTTGCCGTCTGTCGTCCACGTGCTGCTGTTAATAATAATGAGACACCCGGGGGGATTGGAACGGGGGTGGAAAAGGGGGGGGGCTTTAATGGCAAAAACAAAGAAAACTCGAAAGGATGAGACCCTCGGCCCCGGCGGGGGATAAGAGGGCCGAGGTGGCCACCTGTGCCCTCCCAAGCCGTCGCCCACAAGAACAGGAACACCGAGAATGCCGAGTCTACGGCTGTCTGCGACCGAGTCTGCGACAGTCCGCGGCGGGGCGAGGCCGGCGAGGGCGCGAGGTCCACGTCGTCCGATCTCTATTTATAGACCACTTGCATCCATTTTCGGACTGTCTTTGTGAATGCTTACTATGCTGGCCGCCAGCAGGTGGCAATGGATATGGCATGCGTGGCCTAGGTTAGTTCCAGGTAAGGTAATGGGGTGCAACAGATGTTGCCTGGAGGCGGGTATCCCTCGGGGGTTCCTTGCCCCGCCCCGCCCCGCCACCCCCCATCCCGAAATCACTCTGTATCAGAGAGGATCTGAAGGTCAGCCTTTGCCGGGCTATCATCGCCAAGAAGAACAGATGGCCAGGTCGGTATTTCGTTCCAGCGACTGAGCCTGGGCCGGATAAAGGATAAAGAGGAAAACACTGCCAGGTCGCCTCGGCCGCCTCTCAGGTGAGCGTCTGTTCGGCAACGTCGCCTGCTTAGCAAACACCTCGATAAGACGAAAGGCGTGGGACACTGAGGGTGGGAGGGAGAAAGGAATGGGAGAGAGAGAGAATGAGAGAGAGAGAGAGAGAGAGAGAGAGAGAGAGAGAGAGAGAGAGAGAGAGAGAGAGAGAGGAGGGGATGTTTTACCGCGACTTCGATCGCAACATGCGGTGCAGAAATTCCACCGCCCTCTAGAAAAAACCGCGTCGCGAGCGAAACTTGTGTCGTGACCGACCACCCCGTCGTCCGCGGCCACCGCCACACATGAGTCGATATGTCAAGGCTTGCAAAGCGGTGTACAGTGTCCGTATCGATCAAACATCAAACAGCGTCAGAGAGCGCCTCACTGAAAGCGTCGAGCGTCACGGAGCGTCGAGCGTCACGGAGCGCCACAGAACGTCCAACCAAGCGTCCAACGCCACAGAGCGTCGAGGCGCGAGGCGAGGTCCAGGAGTACCGACGGGTGGCTTACCAGCGGCTACCCTCCTGGTCTTCCTGCACATGTGGCTGTAACGCCGTAACGAGTTTCCAAAAGCCGCTTTTTCCTTACTCAGCAGTGCTCAGCAGGGAACGGGCAAGAAAAGGGAAGCCCGAGGAGGAGCGGAACTGCTGACTCAGACGGACGGACGGACGGACAGGCAGGCAGACTCACACGTGAGCACGGCGATGAACACGGAAACCAAAGAGGCGCGTCACGTGAAGTGGGCTCTACAAGCTCTACGGCTGGCAAACAGCCGATAATAAATGGAGAGAGACGGTCGGCCTCACGTCGAATCGAATCGCAGGGAACGTCACGGCGCGTCACGGCGCGCACGGCGCGTCACGCCAAGGAACGTCACGGCAGGGCACATCGTGATTCAGCATAAATGTGCTCTCCTTTAACGACCGAATCTCACGGCATAGTGATTGCGATCAAAGAGGCAGGTACAATGAGACGCGGGGGCGGGAAACAGCAAAAAACAAAAACAGAGAGAGGGAGAGACAGAAAGCGACGTCAACTGCAGCTAACTCCCCATGACACCATCCCGGCGAGCGAAGGCCAAAGTGCGTCCGCCATGACACCGACAAAGTTTTCCCCCTCCCCTTCCCCATTTTTTTCAGCGCCCTTTCAGAACTTGTTTCTCATGGAAACGGCGGTAGGACTGTCCGTCCAAGTCTCCGCGGGGGTGGGGGGGGGGGGGGGGGGGGGGGGCCTCCATGGCACACACATGCGGGGGAGGGGGCGTCCGTGTGGCCCCACTTTCGCCCCATTTCGGCAAATCCGGCAAGCCCTTCCACCTGTCCTGTTTTCGCTTCGTCACGCCCCGCGCCACGCTCGTCACGCTCTCGTCACACTCTCTGCGAGTGGGTGAGGCATCGCCCCCCCATCGGCACCGGGCAACTTTTGCACACGTGCAGCTCCCCCAACCATCACACACACACACCGTAAAATAAAACAATAGTTTTTGAAAGCGCGCGGAGTAAATGAGGCTTGGTTTCTAGGAAAGACTCCGCAGGAAAAAAAGGAAGGCGAACAGTTATCACCGAACAAAGTGGTGACTGCTGGGGGGAAAGTTCCGTCCGAGGCGTCCAACGACGGTGTCGATAAGAACGGGGAGCCTGATTTATCAGAGTGATGTCCCCGGGCCGAGGCGGGGCGGCCGGGCTTGTGTCGTCACCCGTTTCGGAGATGACACCAAGATCGGCCGGCCGGAGTGTCGTCAGCGCCATCACCTCCGTCACCGCACTGTCAATCGAGTGCGTGAGTCGTCCGCAAAGAACAACTCGGCAAAAGCAGCAGCTGAGCGCCGGCCGCGTGCCGCGAGGTGGTGGGGGGTGGCGGTGTCCGGCCTGTTGCCCTGCACAGCCTGCGGGCCCACCGCCCCTTTTCGGGACCGCCGCCTCCAGCACGCCCCCAGCAGCCCCCGCCCCGCCTCCGCCCGCCCCCCGCCCCGCCCCCAGCACAGTAGCACCCAACCCTTGGCCGGGTCAGCAGCACCACCACGGATTCCGCACCCTTCCTGATGAAATATGCACGGTCATGAGGCCACAAATCAATTTGAAACAATACTTTATAGTGCGGGCAGATACCATTTTTCGATCAAAATATAAATTTGGGGAATAATGGCGTTGCTGTAACTACCTATTTAGATCCCTTTGTCTAGTGCATGAGGCAGCCACAACGACCACGTACTAGTGCTCCAGTGAGGTAGGCAACACGTCGGTCAGAGCTTGAACTAAACTAGCTGGGCCAGAGATTGGTGGTCTCAGAAAACCGCATATAGTCGTAACAGGAACCAAGGCTGTTGTGAGATCGAAAGAGTCGTGGTCAGGACCATGTTTCGGGAGAAGTAGGTTTTATCACCGAAATATGGGTGCCCATAAAACCAATGCCATCATGGCCCAAATTTTTGTCGCAGAAACTTCAAGTTTCAAGTTAGGGGTTCCAACTAGCAACTACACTCAAAGTAGGGGGATAAAGCCTTCCCTACCGAAACTTGTGTAATCAAGCACTCCTCGCTCAAAATATTTGTCACGACTATATGACTGTTTCTTTGACAGTGTTAGTACTATGGAAAGAGATACAGAACACAAGAATTTATTTTTAGTTGTCCATCGAAAGACGTACTCAAGTCGAGCCCAACTCACGCGAGGCAATCTTCCTAATCGTCCGACAAGTTTTGTCGTCCTCGCGGTCCCTGCCGGCCGGTCGATGCAAGCGAAACACTCGGCTGGCAGAGCGAGACTCTCTTTGCTTGGAATTCCCCCGCAGTCCGAGAGGAGAGCATGAGACTCTTTGAAAACGAGGTTCAAGCAGCAGAGTTTCGCAATGCATCATTTTCTTTTACTCATGGCACTTCAAGTTGGAGCGGCCTCTGAGCTCGGCACAGGCTAAGTCCCGGCCGGCAGGGAAGACCTCATCACAGGGGAAACCAGACTTGGGAAATGGGTGTGTAAAGTTCCAAGTTCTCACCTGATTTTGGTTCCGAGGAGGATATCCGTAATAAGGTCCCACTTTTTCACCGTACATGTAGTCTATTACGGCGGTTGACATTTCTTGAAAACACTCACACTCTCACAAACTGGACTCCACGCGACACGGGAGACACCAAAAACCATCCAACTAGCATCACTGACAACACAATCCACTTGCAGGCGGCGTAGAAACGGTATTCCAAGTCGGGGTATCCAGAGTAAAGCCTCTCTCAGGAGGGCTGTTGCACAATTCGACACAGTCGCACAACGCACACACGGGTTTCGCACCCCGGTGGCTTTCCAAGTGTTTTGACACTCGTACTGGCACCGGCACACTGGCACGTCACACACTGATGGTCACGAGGGCACCGGCTTTGCGCCAAATCCCTCCGGTTCACAAGAGCACTGTTGGTAAAATCCGTGTATCCAGTGGCAGCGAGTCGCCGACGAGAGCGACGCAACGAGGGAGCGCAAAGACGCGCGCGACGAACACACGTCTGGCGGGGAAGGCGGGCGCGCGAAGACTGAATAACCGAACTAGGCCAGCGGTCGGGCGGCACGAAGGCGGCGCGCCGAGCCGAAGCGCGCCCGAAGCCAGCCCGAGCGCCGCCGGGAACGGCCGAACCGACCCGAACGGCGGAGGAGCAACAGAACGGACGGGCGCGCGCGCTCCGAACTTGAAACTCGGGGACGAAAGAGGAAAACGATAATGCGAGCAAGAAAGAGGGAGAGGCAAAGAGAATTACTGTAGTTTATGTATGTATTTGAGTTTTCACTCGCCCCTCCCCCCGCCCTCCCTGTGTGTGTATGTGTGTTGGAGTGGGGATGTATAATAAAACTTCCCTTCTTTGGGTTGCGTCCGTCCCCCCGCTTCGTATCAAATCACAAGAAGTTAGCTCGATAGAAAGTCGACACTTTAAGAGCGGCCGGGAAAATGGTCGGGTTGGGTGTCGCCGCCAATTCCATCAGTTCGACTATCCGATTTGCGGGGAAGACCAACAGAGTGTCGAGTGTGTTTTGTGTCCATGCGTGAGAGTGTGAGTGTGTGTGTGGAGGGGGCTGTTATGTTCGACAGGTCGCCTACTTTCCGGGAGAAGCGGCGCCACACACGACGAAAGCCTCGTTTGTTCCCTGCTTTGCATATCAAGAGGCGTTGCATTATGGGTACTTCCAGGTGGCGGCGTTTTGAGGGCTGGAAAAAGGCGCACTTTTCTCCGCCGCCTTTGCTTTGCTGGAGACGCAGCGAAAAGGCGCTCGTGTGAGAATGGCGCCGACATCAAGCAGGAGGCGAATTTAACTGAAAGCATCCACTGAAGTAAACTCACTCGCAGAGAGAGGGTTTCAATTTATCGTCGCCCCATTTTTCCCCTCACAGTGCGCAGCCTTTTCCGGCCTAAGCAGCGCGGGGCCGGGCAGGCCGGGCAGGCAGAGGGCCACCCCGCGCGGATAAGAGACATTTCTCGTCTTTCCCGCGGAACAACAAACTGAATTACGGACGAAGGGAAAGAGATGCAGAGCGATCCCTTTCTTTTATGTAGTACCCTTCTGCCTTTGCCTCCGGCGACGCGAGCGCGCGCGCGTGTGTGTGTACGGGCTTTGGCTGTCACGAGGCGAATCACTTCCAAGCGACGTCACCGACCCACTCTTCGCGAGTCAATTAATTCGACGACAGTCCTGTTTGCATAGTTTTCTCTCGAAACAGCGCTGCTTCGCGCTGATCCGCGCTGCTCGACGCGAGGGCAGTGAGGCTAGAGGAGCCAGCCACCCACGCGCTCGCCCGCGCACTCGGGACATGAGAATGACATGCAGGTAAACGAACGGTAAATGACAAGCCAGCCGTCATCCTTTCCTAATCCTCGCGCGCGCGCGCGCCACCTTTCACCCTCCCCTTCTCTCTCCCTCCTTCTCTTTTACTCCTTTACGGACTTTGGAGGAATTCCTAAAGCTGGGAATGACTTTGCCGAGGAAAAGTTTTTGTTTGTGGTGCGCGACACACAACAGAAGCACTCGTTCCCCCCCCCCCCCCCCGCCCGGCCCCCGTTTCGCGTGTACCTGAATGAACGTTTCTGTAACCAGCGGAAAGTTTTTTGAAGTATCTCCAACACGAAAAAGAGAAAAAAGAAAAAGTTTAGATGGGTTCGCAAGTTATAATTTCCGTTTACCATGAAAACTTTATATGCGATTTTTCTCTCCCCACGGACGTTTCCAGAAAGAAGTTGACGGTGATGGAATCCAAAGTACTGACGGAACAAAATGAACGCAAAGTTGATTCCGCTCCGGTAGGGTTGGCCGTTTGATTGCAGGTCACGATGTGGAGCTGCGGGACGGACAGGGGAGATGGTGAGGCACTTCTGGGAGCCCGTCAAGCACAGCGCGGCATTGCGTTCGGGGGGGAAGGCCCTTCGGACCGCTGCAGCCACGCCACGCTGCGCCACGCTGCGCCACACCACGCACTGCCCAGCTGCGTCTAAAGTCGTCAATGCCGAGACTGGGTTTGTCAACACTGCGCATGCGCCACCCGACAAGATGGCCGCTCATAAACAAAACTCTACGCCACGCAGGCAGACAGACAGACAGACAGGCAGACCGACAGTCAGACGGACAGAAACGGACCCTAAAACATGTCCGAGCATAAAGACAGTCAAGTAGAGCTGTAAGGTAAGAGGCGTCGTTACCCGACTGAGGAACGAAGAGCACAGTAGCTCCATGGCGTGTCGAGTGGTGTGTGTGTGTGTGTGTGTGCGTGAGCTTCCTACATGCTGTTGCCCAAAGTTATTTCCTGTCCAGGGACTTCCCTGCTGGTCGCAATGGCCATCTTATCGGCCTTATCTGCAGGCGCGAACACACACACACACACACACACACCCACACACACACAAACACACAATGTGGCAGCACCACGCGTTCCAAAAAAAAACAAAAAACGATCCGGAGTAAGCTCATTTCTCTCCCCATTTGTGTCCCAAGCCTCAAACTAAACTGGAATCCCATTATGGAATGTCAGACACGATAAGAATCACGGGCGCGGCATTGAAATTTCAGCATTCCCGACATGCCGGTTCAACCGGCAACCCGCGGCCCTTGCCCAAAGCAGCGCAGGATGCTTTTGGGACTGCAAATCTTGAAACGGGGGTTCGAATCCCCAACACGGCTGCTGCTGTCCCGCATTGTTTTCACTAATGCTTTCTCAGATTAATTGTCTGTCAAATGGTGAACGTTATTTCGATTCTGGCTGTGCTTATACACGCGGGGCGTGGCGAGTGCGGCGCAGCGTGGGGTGGTAGGTTTACTCCGGGAATCTGGCACGCAGCAAGGCAGGGCAACGACGGAGCAACGCGGCACGCAAGCTCTCAATTTCCGTCCGAATTTATTATCAGATCCATCTCTTTACTCTCCACGTATGAGAAATAGCGCGGGCCTTTCTCTGTGTGCCAGCGGCAAACGCGCAGCAACTACGCCCAGGGTTAAAGAGAATTTATGTCTTTGGAGTTCTTTTCGGATCATTATGAACGCTACAACGGCGCTCTGCCAACCGTTTCCTGCGGCTTATTTGCACAAAAAAACCAGCGAAATCGTAATTTTCGCCTGGAGGCCGTCGTTGCCTGCCGGCAAGTCCCGACGCGGCAGTACGTTATCATCAATTTTGAAGTGAACACTCCAATTTGCAGTGCATAGCGCCACCGGGGCTTGAGCCGGCCATGCCGAGTTATCCCAGCAGACTGAGAGTTGTTTTCGTCGCGTTGTCTCTCTCGCACCCGTGCGGGGCGCCTACGAGTGCGAGAGAGACAGAGCGACGAAAACCACTTTTAGAATCAGTCCACTGCTTGCTGCACGTGAAGAAACGGAATGGATGGCAACAATGGGGCCCAATGGGGCCCAATGGGACCCCCACCACCCCAACCCCAGAGCCCAGAACCATTTCCTCTGTCTCTGTCCGCCCCACCTGCCTCTCCCTTCTCTCTCGCGACTCAAATGGGGAGCATTATTCCGGGATTTGATTGATAACCCGCGACCCTTTCACGTGTATAGCGGTGTGACGCGGTGCCCTTCTTTCGGACTGAAGGGCAAAAAGGGCCAAAAAAGTCAAAAGGGCCAGAAAGGTCAAAAGGAGTTGCCAGCACAATTTAGATTTTGACCAAATTTGCACTCTCATATTCCCATACGAGCCCCATGTGTGAGAGACAGGTCGACGAAACCACTGCACTGGACTGCCGGTCTGCGGGCCGGGCCTAGTCCGTGGCCCATTTGACCGGCCGGTTCGAATCAGCGCGCCGCGTCTTGGCGAGACTCTCACGCTCTAGAGACAAGCCGAACGGACGGACGGCCAATAAAACAGACCCCGCTGCCCCGTCTGCCCCGTCCACGACGGAACGTCCGAATTTTGATTGGGAGGTAAAGCAACGCGCGACAGCTTTACTGTCGGTAAATTACCAGAAGTTAGATAATAATGTGGAACGGCCCAGTGGACAGTCCTTTTGGACAGTCCTTTTGGACAATCCTTTTGGACAGTCCTTTTGGACAGTCCTTTTGGACAGTCCTTTTGGACAGTCCTTTTGGACAGTCCTTTTGGACAGTCCTTTTGGACAGTCCTTTTGGACAGTCCTTTTGGACGGTCCTTTTGGACGGTCCTTTTGGACAGTCCTTTTGGACAGTCCTTTTGGACAGTCCTTTTGGACGGTCCTTTTGGACAGTCCTTTTGGACAGTCCTTTTGGACAGTCCTTTTGGACGGTCCTTTTGGACAGTCCTTTTGGACAGTCCTTTTGGACAGTCCTTTTGGACAGTCCTTTTGGAACAGCCAAGCCATGTGGCGGACAGAGGGGCCGAGAAGGGCACATGCAAGGATTACACTGTCTGCGACGCTCCGCGACGGTTTGCGAGGCCGGAGATAGAGTCAATTCCAGGCGATTATACCTGGAAACTGTCATTACTTGTTCCAGGAAGCGGTGGTTGTGTGGTTGCCACGACGTCAGGGAGAAGAGGGAGGGGGAAGGGCTCGAGAGGAGGATGAGGTTCGAGAAAGGAGGTCGCCTCGCGGCCATTATACGACTGGTGTTGCCATCGGGACGCCGACGACGACGTCGTGGAGGACATCGGCCCGGCCGGGCTGGCAGGACTGGCAGCCAGGCAGGCTGGCGGGGGTGGCTGTGTGCGCTGCGAATCTCGCAGTGGCCGGCAGTCATGAGCCGGCCTACCCCACCATACCATGCGCCTCCGGACCACACCCGGGCCTACCCCACTCTCCCTCTCTCGGAGTGTGTGGGAGTGAGTGGAGCATTGTGCCCCGTTGCCTACCTGCCAGGACTATCTCTCTCCCCCGCACGTCTCACTCTGTTTACCAAGTCCGCAGCCAATCAGAGCAGAGAGCCGCCACCCCGTCCGCCCGCCACCCCTGCTTCACTTCTCCGCGTATTTGCCGACGCAAATGGATTCATACGGAGGGCTGATCGCGCTGCACTATAACGCCGTATTGATAGTGCGCTGTGATCCCCTGCATGGGGAAGGGGGGGGGGGGAATTTGAAAGGTAGATAAACGGAA